GCTTTTGTTCCTACTGCTTGAATTGTTATTTGGGTAGTGCACACATACTCATGTAGCATTCAAGAGAGGTTCCCTGCCCTTTGTTTTCCTAATATTCCTGTCACTCATGGGCACTTGCAATTCAGAGCAATTATGTTTCGATTATGTAATCTCACTTTCAATTTCCCTTACATTGGCGCAAGTGTTACAAGAACAGTTTTGCAGAAGCCCAACATTGCCTTGCTTACTCCAAAGTGTTTTTCGATCCCTTTTTCTGTACCTACCCATTCAAAACAGCACAGAAGGGGCCACATGAAACGCTCATTGAAATTTTATACGCACGTGTTCCTTTTATTCGATCTCATTTACACTTCCATTAAACCAAAGCATGCTTTATGAAGTAAGAATGCGTAAACACACGAAGTAACCAAGAATGAGAGTCCTTCTTCTCCGCCTCCATGCATCCATGCCAACGCACGCAGTGTACCAGTGCGGTTGAACATAGCAGGCTGGTACTTGGAATGGCTTGCTTGCCGAAACCAACAGTAAAGTATGGGGGCTTGGTGAATTCAATTATTTTGCCTTATTATTATGTACACTGGTGGGCAGCCTCTGTATTAAAATAAAACATTGTGAAACATTAAGGTACTACCAGAAATCAAAGCAATTACTTTATCAATATCATCAATTATTCATCAAAATCACTAACAATGGCGATGAAACATCGATTACATTTATGTGATGCAAAACACTGCTAAGCTTCCTTTAATCAAACTAGAAAAACTTTGACAGGTTAGTTGACATACCCTATCGCTCACCACTGAATCAATTATTACAGTAAATGTAATTTCCACGCCCTTGACTTGACTACACTTATAAAGCTTGCGTGAATGACGCTTTTTCTTTCGGCAAGTGTTGAGCCATAAAACACACTTGGCTGCCTTTGAACTCGGTATGCTTGCGAATGGAGAAGTGGCATTAATATGATCCACAACTAGCTACGTATTGAAAACTATGGAAGTGATAAAATTATTTCACTTTAAAAACTCTCAACTGGCGTCCGATATACGGAAAAGTTCCTTATGATTCCACCATCCTTCAGTGTAAGTTTCAAAATAGATTACAGTTAATTCCCACTCATACATATAGATCATAATTATAGGATATAAGCATTGAACAACATAATTCCCCCAAGATGAAAGGGCAGATGACAAAACGTGCTAAAAAGGGTCAGCCAACGGGCGTATAGAATTTCATTCAAGCAGAATGATTTAGAAAAGATTAATTAGTTTTTAATGTTGCCGAAAATGTTTCCCCCTTGTATGCTTAAGGTGTAGCATTTCCTGAAACAACCCTCTTGCATATTTAGTGGATTATGTATTTACTGAAATATTGAAGCGTTCTACCATTATATTCTTGAGTGCATATGGACATAAATATTTGAGCAATAAAAATATATATAAAGAATCATACAAAAAATGTGCAATTCTGTAAATGACCACACTTTTCTTGTATCGTGCCTAAACTTTCAATACTGTACGTTAAAATTGCATTGAAATGCTCGTTCATCTACGTTCATTATTAATGTACTCAAAAAATGGCTTTAAAAGCAAGCTGTGTACTTTAAAATAATATTTAAATATGTCACCGCTAATAATCTATTATTCGTCGATGCTTGCCAAAAAGCGACCAAATCATATTCCGTTTGATTCCAACATTCTCCGCAAAATTAATACCCTGTGCATCTATTAATGGTTCGTACGACAGTGATAGCAAAACCAACGTCGGTCAAGTCCAAACATAAATTTCCGGTAGGGTCGCCTTTTGCACTTGCCTAGGAGAGGACATCATAACCAGTCAGTATGCGGATAATGTTTCTCAACATAAAACATGATTTTATCTGCTTCCCATGCCCTGGTCCCAAATATCATTTCACTGTTATTCTATCTCTGAAATGAACCTAAAACAAGAGCAACCCACCGAAAAGGTTAGCCAAAATCTTCCCTTTTACAAAATTCATCAACGGTCGCCCTCGAGGGAACTGCAATTTTTACGAATGTAACGAATGAAAGTGTAATATGATGCAAAGGCTCAAATCAAATAATGTATCAGTTTCTGAATTTTTAAGCATGGTGATTCAACATTCTTTGCACAAGCAGTTGCGAATACCAATATTGCTCACCGAAAAGATGATGATAACGATGTGGTTAGTATGTTTTAGAAAAAAAAAAACAATAACAAAGACAGAAAATCGGTTGGAATGAAATCGACCTCCTCTGTCGTCATTGCACTATGGTTCAGAAGTTGTATCTAGGTGGAATAAATTGTTTGCGCCACATTAGTTTTAGGAATATAGTGTCTTCGGGTTATAAAGTTATAAACGATTTTTGTTGAAAAATATGTCTGAGCTTAGAAATGCTATGTACCTCGGTTGTACTGTAACAGGAAGGAAACTTTGCTCTGAATCCTTTGAAGTGCTTTTTTTCCTGGTAGTGCAACAACTAGACCATATTAGCGCAGCATAAAGCATGGCCGGTCTAAAAACTTGTGTAAATATCAGAAGTTTATTCTTCAGGCAAAGTTTGGATTTCCTGTTTATAAGAGGATACAATCATTTTAAATATATGTTACATTTGGAATGAATGCCTTCAACGTGATTTTAAAAGTTAATTTTTGTTGTTGTTTGTTGCGTTAATTGGTCAAGTTCTCATTCAAGATATTTCACTTGACTTGAGCAAGAAATTGGAACTCCGTTAATAGTGACTATGCGACGGTTACTAGGTTTTACTCTAGGCTTGTGTAGGAATATTATAAGTTGAGTTTTGGAAGCGTTGGGAGTAATCTTCCGTTTCTGTAAACATGAAGTGAAGCTATCTACACATTTCTGCAGTCTTCTGCAAATAACACGAAGACTTCTTCCATTAGCGGAAATGCCTGTGTCATCGGCGAACAAATGTTTGTGGCAGCCCTGAGGCAAATCAAGGAGATCTGAAGTGAAAATGTTATACAATATAGTCCTACACAGCAAAAAAAAATGTAATATCGATCAACGTAATTCAAGCTGATGTATGAAATAATGGTGTAATAGCAAAAAGCAGATACAATATTACATCAATGGATGTAATTTTGTTCGCAAAATCCATGTACATCGTACAATGTGATATTACACAACCGATGGATTGACCTGGTTGCAGCAGTTTCGATGTAATATTCAACAACTTTTTTTGCTGTGTATAAATGCTACTTTGTGGAACTCCTGCTCGAACAGGTAGTCGATTATATAAGGAATTCTGATAATTTACCTGTAGAGTTCTGTCAGTTATATAATTTTAAACTAATTTCATGATATAGAATGAAAAATTAATCTTTTTCAATTTGGCAATCAAATTTTCATGCCAAACACTGTCGAATGCTTTTTCAATGTCCAGAAGAGCAACTCCACTTGAACAGCCTTCAGATTTGTTTGATCAAATTAACTTGGTTAATTTTTAAAAGTGATGAATATTTGAATGTCCATGGCAAAATCCAAACTGCTCATCTGAAAAAAATGTGTTTATTTTGAAGTGAAGCATCATTCTATTCAAATTTATCTTTTCAAAGAGTTTACTTATTGAAGAAAGCAAACTTATTGGACGATAGCTAGAAGCTTCAGCTGGATTTTTATCCGGCTTATAAATTGGAACAACTTTTGCATTTTTCCATTTATCAGAAAAGTATTCCAAATGGAAGTATCTGTTAAATTATTTTAACAAGAAAGATAAGGTACTTTTTGGCAGTTTTTTTTATGAGGATATAGAAAATTCCATCATCACTTGGAGCTTTCATATTTTGAAACTATTTATTCCACCTAAATACGACTTCTGGACCACTGTGCATTGTCCCCCTCAAAACAACATGATCAGCACAGCAGATAGATGGAGGATGTTTTATGGTTCCAGGAAGACCAGTTGTGTATAACTTTATAGCATAGAAACACATATATCATTCCTGAAAAACGAGCTGAAACGAGCCTGGCAGTAGTTATTTATTCATTGGATGGATCGGAAGTACTGGTCAATTAATTTGTTGGTTTACGTCTAAAGGAACAGTCCGTACGAGGATGTTTGTAATCAATGTAATCCTGCTCGTTTGAATTGATGTTTTCAATGAATAATGCAACAATCAAACTCTTTCACTTACTTGAGAAACGGAATGATGATACCTTAAAATCAAAGTCGATTGAAATTCTTTAAATTCACAGATAACCTAACAACCGGCATTTCAATATTTACAGAAACTCAAAACAACACAAAGTTTAAACGCTGGCTCTGTATTTTGCACCACTGATCCTTACTCCTTTGCTTCAATGTATCCTGTAGATTTACGGATAAGTAAAATAAAAATCCCAGCAGCTCAACTGTATTCAATTACCAAAGTAAATCAGTGTTAAAGTGAACAATCTTCATCGCAGAAGGAAAAAGAAGAAAATAACTTCGAAGCTCATTTTACCATCCCTATTTTCCACTTGAAAGGTCACTCGCTTGCGTCCGACCAAACCGTAAAAAAAGGGGAGAACTATTGGGGACTTTTCCCCGTGCGATATCCTTCGTCTTGCTCTGACACGTCCCCTTTTCTTCATCCAACTTGGCAATGGGTTTTCCCAATGACAGTAAAAGGGGAAACGGCTGGAAAGTGGCAGCAAATGTTCTTCGTAGTGCAAGTGGCGTTTCACGCAAGGGCTTCAAATCGATTTTTATTGGGTTCTTCTGTTCGTTTCCCCCCAAATTTCCCGAACTAGTAAGCCCACATTCTATTCGGATTACGTGTTGGTAAAGTTCTTCAAAGTGTCAAATCAAATCATAAACATAAATACTTTTGCCCAAAGCTGCGTAATCGAAGGCCAAACTGGTGGATTAACAGTAAATCTAGTGAGATTTAGTTTCCTTTGATGAGGAAGTCGTTTTTCGCTTATGTTTGTGGATAAGACCACCCAGATCTACGTTTTCTTGTAAGCGGAAGCTTTCGATATTTGGGATACTCACTTGGTTTACTCTATCTTGCAGTCGAAGTAAGGCATCTTCTAGCTCAGCTATTCGGGCTTCAAGCAGGTCCTGAAAGAGATGAATGAAATCATAAACTGATAAGATAGTGTTGGGGTAGTGAATCATGCGAGGTATAACGGGTAGGAAATAAAACAAATAGTCTAATATATTTGATAAAAATTACAATAATGAATCAAAGAAAAACTAATGTTTACTAAAAAACAAGAAGAATCTGTTAAGAAACTGACTTGGCACAAACCATTTGAAGTAAATGCGGAAATTACTATGAAAACTTCCTATAAGAATAAGTAATACGAAAAAAGGCTAGATGAAAATGAACAAAAAGTTTGGTTTTCCCTTAGTAATTTCCATATAAACTTCAAATGAGCTCAAGGCTGATCAGGACCCGGTTTGAAATCTAACCGTTTAAACACTGTGGAGCGAAAATTACACATTTTGCATTACCCTAATGTATATTTAAGATTTTTTTTTTCAAGTAAAAGATCTTTCATTGTTCAAGGTTTAAAATAAAATCCAACCTCAAAATGCTGAGGTAAAGCATCAATTAAAAAAAATAAATAAGAGTAAATCATATAAGCGGAGTGAGTTAAAGTGAATCAGCATATAAGATAATCAATATAAAAAACGATCTGCAAACAAGATTGACGACAATTAAATTAAATTAAATTGATTTAATTAATTTTTGAAAATATTTGAAAACTCAAAGCACATTTCTAGACAACAATTAAAATAGGAGGAACAGCCTAACGTAAACAATGACTTTAAACATTCTAGAGAACCAAAACACTTCCACGCACCCTAACATTGCCATTTGATAAATGAAGTTTACTGTATCGGATGATGGAGTTAGATTAATTGGATGTACTTTGATTCTCGAGGAATTTGCGTTTAAAGCCATTGTTTACGTTTGGTTGTTCCGCCAATTTCAATTGTTGGTCTAGATTTAACCCCTCACTTTTTTCTACACCATGTTATTCAAATGCAGGGCTGATACAAGATTTTCTCCAGAGGCACCGGTGGTGTAGTGGTAAGCGTGATACCTCTGACCCCAGCTGGCCTGGGTTCAAATGTTCTGAGGCATAACATCTCTGATCACGCCTTCCTTCAGGGGAAGGGAAGTAAATCCGTTGATTCCCGATTCATGAGTTGATGGGTCGATACGTAGGGTTCAGATATGGGAGCTGCCTCCCTGGCGTCGGTAGCATTGGTGCTCAGCACGGAAAACAAGATCGACGGAAAACAAAAATTTGATTCGCAAAATCAGCGATTTCTCAAAAGAAATCTGCAACTTCAAGTACTAAACCCGCGACAATTAAAAAAACTGTTTTCATTGTTTAGAATTCCATTTTTATTACTACTACGTGGCATTTCAAGCTTATTGCTTATATCATATTAGCTTTTCGCCTACTCTCAACTAAATGATCTTCCCCATTTTAATTGATACAAGATGAACAACAAAATTTATAACAGCACGGGACACAAAGGTTAAAATTAATTCCGAAATTTTTGTGATAGCACATCACTCCCTTCGCGATTTTCGCCACATCATTTAATGTTTTCGCGATTTTCGCGACTGAAATCACAAATCCATGACAAATCCGCGAAAATCGCGAAACCAACGCCTGTTGTAACAGCCTTGTAAATGGGAGCTGGGTACCTTTGTAGCCCGTCACGCACATATCTAGATTACTAGGGGAAATGGCTCTAATGTTGACCTATTGATCTAATTTTATATATCTAAAATTGGGCTAATCGCTAAAATCCTGCTATTTATCAATTTTATCTAGATGAACGCGTCATTGGGATGTACAATGAATGTTTTTAAGTCGTTATTGAAAATTTAGTCGATTGCTGAATTTATGTATGAGCCCAAATTATGGGCATTTAGGCCAACATTACATCCATTTCCCCTATATGCTTCTTAAAAAACAAAAATTATAAATTTTCATCATGTGCAGAATATTTAAATATTTGTGCCTTGTGTGCATTTCTTGAATATCTTGTATATCTTGTATACTTCACTAAATTCAGAATTCATTCAGAGTTTTGTGTTGAGTTGTCCATTGTTTGATATTCTTAAGGATTCAAATGAGACTCGAGCGCCTCCGATGTTCATGAAACTTTGCATAATCGCTTGATAGAAAAAGAAAAAGAAAAAAAGGACAATTGACACTGTCTTCAGTCAGATCTTGCACAGACTAAACACTTAACCTAGACAACGGACGTGTTGTAACAACACAAAGTAGACCACACATTTCCCGTATGCAAAAAATCCCCTCCGGCTGGAGCGGGAACCAAACCCTCACTTCGTGGTACTCACAATACGCCTGAAAGAAGGTGACGCCACTAATCGAATGACCACGGATTCCACATGTGCTAAAATTCGATTTTTGAATCAATGACGCTTTTGACATTTGCTCAAATGATGCTTTTGAAATATTTTAGTCGTAACACAATAACGTCACTTCAAATCAAAATGACGTCTGCAACAAAGTTGTAGGGAAAAATAAATCTTTCTTGGGAAAATATACACGGTATTCTGCATTAAAAAAATAATGCTCAAGTACAATCAGTCTATACAAAACTGCCAAAGCTTACAAGACCATCTTCAAACAAAGGAAAACATCTATTCAACATAATAAAAAGATTTAATTATTTATTGATTTTTACAAAAATCGTCCGACTTTATTGCCTGTATTTCGAATAGTACATGGTTTAGAGAACTGTTGTTCTTGGGGTTTCTCTGTTGAATAGTCCACTACCGATTGACAGGCACAAATCAAATCAGAAATCGAAATCAATTTTCGATTATTGTCCACCTGAACTCCCATACTGCTTCAGTGGCGTTTAAGCGGCCGTAAGTTTTCCGGGCGTAACTCAAAAATGGTAAAAGATTCCGGTCAGAAATTTTATCCAATTTAAGATTGGAAATTTGCATTACTCAGAAAATTGGGATTACAACTTTCCTTTGCATTTTTTCTCCAACGTGATAATTTTAGAGGAATACATTTTCCATATTTTATTTACTAATTTAATGCTGAGTTAATTTCTTGATCATTTTACTATTATCTTTATACGATACTTGATTTAAAACTTATGAATGAATGTTTGAACATTGAAATGTGATGTCCGGGAAAATCTAAAAACTGCAATCCCCTTGTACATACTGTTCTACACACAGAATATTCTCGTTGTTTGGGGCTCCTTGATTATGTTCTTAAAAAAAAGCCATCTCTTTGTCATGAATCCTCATTGTCATGCTTTTCCTATTCTGAATTTTGATTGGAGAGCTATTCATTCCCAAATAGTTTTCCTTAAGCAATTAGAATAAAAAAGTTAAAATAGATACATGATAGCTGTCAGTATTATTACTACCTACAAATTACTCCGTTACAACCGCACCGCAACAACTAACTTTGTGTGAATATATTTGTCAATTGCAGAGTTAGCTTTATGGATTCTACTAAGTTACCTTAAAATGACAGTTGACGCAACATATTGCTTGTATGGTTTTAAATAGAATGTGTCAAGGATAAGAGAGGAGCGGACTGGCTAGTTTGGAGACGAAGGATCTGTTAAAGCCAGAGCCATTCGAGCAGAACACATCTTAATTACATTGACAGTGTTGCTAGACACCGACTAGGCATAGGTTGCCAACAAAATGCGGGTTGGAATCCATTTATCTATTTTGCGAGCCTGTAATCGAACCTTGACATTCTTCTGAGTAATTCTACAAAAAAAAGACATTCACCAACTAATGGTATTAAATCCAGTAGCTATGAGGGCTCAATCGTTCTACATAATTACTTAACATTTTGGATGTTTAATGTTAGTAAATTTTTGAATTTCATATTAAAAAATGTTGGTATGGGGTGAAATTGATCATCTCTTCAAATAGCATTCCAGTCAATTATAGTAAATATGCTTTAGAATACTAATCATAGGAATCCTTGTGCGAAGCGTGTTTAATGCAAAAATACCAAAATAAGTTTCTTAGTTGAGCCTAAATATTAGCAATTGCATTGGAAGTCGTTGAAAATTTGACGAAAGTTCTTGTTTTAGTAATCTGAATTCAGTGACACCTAGTTTAGTCAACAAAACCACTTTAAATCTAATGACAACAGACGTTGCAGCCCTATTATAAGTTGTTTGAATGATGGTACGGTTTGATATACACTGATAGGCAAAATAAAGTGCCCACCCCATCATTTTTGAAATTTCTCTCATTTATTTGGTTCAAATTCAAATAAACACACCGTAGTCTGTTTCGATGTCTTACCTTTATTATTCTTTTAAAGTTACACCTATGGAATACTGAAAATATAAAGTTTTACTTGAAGTAAAAGAAAATCAATTTGGATTGAAAAAGAAAACAGTGACAAAAAAAAGTGCCCACTTCAAAAATCGGTATGTTTTCGATAAGTTTCCATCGGAAAACCCCTCGATTGTTTTTGTTTTGAAAGTTTGACATGTATTGAAGCAAACGGGTGGAACTGGTGCATTTGTACACGTGATCGCATTTGAATCAGTTGAAAAAAATGGAGGACGTAGTGATTTCGAAAGCAATTCCCGTGTGTATCCGAAAATTGGTTGTTCGTGATGTGCAAAACGGTGAATCGCACCGGTCTGTCGCTAGGAAGTACAATATCAGCAAAACAGCGGTCGGGAAAATTCTGCAGAAAATGAAATCGTTCGGATCAGTGGTGGATCGCCCTGGCAGAGGCAGGATGCGCAAAACGGATGCGAGAACGGACACCAAGATCATGCGTGAAGTGAAGAAGAACCCGAAGGTAACTGTCCGCGAGATCCAGGAGGCTCTTCAGCTAACAGTTTCCAGTCGAACTGTTCGTCGCCGTCTCGTAGCACAGGGGTTGAACAGCAAAGTTGCTCGGAAGCGCCCATTTATCAGCAAGGCAAACAAAGTCAAACGGCTTAAGTTTGCTAAGGAGCATGCTGATAAGCCCCTAGAGTTCTGGAAAACGGTTCTCTGGACGGACGAATCAAAATTCGAACTGTTCAACCGGAAGCGACGGGTTCGTGTGTGGTGT